GACATTGTATGCACTTTGAGTGTTTAATAGTGCTATATTGAGGTGCAGTTTACTGAATTAAACTGATTTATCAATAATTTTTTTATTATAAGAATTATTAATTTTTAACAAATCTACCCATATTATCTTTTGCAGATGTGATGTTTATGGTATGAGTTGAAATTGTTGGTTGATGCTGATTTGCTTAGGTAGATTTCTTAAGTAAAACAAAAAAAAGAAAGAAATATAATATAAATATAAATTATTTCAAGTTCTCAGTTTTGTAAATCAGAAATTTGGCTAAATCTAATATCAACATTTTGAGAGAAACAATTAAGGTTATTAATTAATTCAACTCTCTTACTACTAATCATACTAAAAGGTATGTATTCTCTTTTAATCCAATTATCAGAAAGGTAATATGACTAAAGATGGGAACCACAATTCAATTTTCATATGCCACAACTACCACAATTCAATTTTTATATGTTGCAATTAATTGAAGAGCCATCTTTAAATATGACAGTATACTCACAACTTTTAGGAGAAACTGATAGGAGAAGAAAAACCAGAAGTTCTAAAAGATCACAAGCAAGTATTGTTAAAAATTTGTAGAGGTAGATGGATATAATCCTCTTGTTAATGGTATGATTGATCTCAGATGTGGTCATTTTTGTTTGACCGAAGAAATTTTGATGGTATTATTATTTATAACTGTTTAATATCAAAGAAAAAAATTTTTTTAACTAACTACATTACCTCCATCAGTTATAATCACTCAGCATTGAAAAAAAAATGAAAAAATAATTATTGAATTAAATTTTGAACCTCTTTTGGAATTTTTGAAAGTAGATTATTTGAAAGTTGTCAGGTTTATATACAATTTCAATTTCTTATGATAATTCTAGTCATGATAACACTCATTATATTCATCATATTATATTTTGCAGGTTACTCCTACTGGTGTATTGTCACAATTGATAACTGAAGCACAATATAGAACTAATGAATTTGTTAAAGATGCATATGATATTCGAATTACAGCCAAGACACTTAAAAAACGTCAACAGGCATATTATGCACATCAGGAAAATGAGAAAAGATTAATAGCAGATGCAGGAACAGTCGAGAGAATGCAAGCCAACAATATTCATTTGTCCAATAAGATAAAAAGTCTTGAAAGCAGTTTGCAAACACTTGATAATGAACATGTTGAACTAGCCAATAATTTTATCAGTACTAAAATGGAACTTGCACAATGCAAAGATGAAAATGAAGATCTTTCTCAGATGGTTATAAACCTACATAGAGGTTTGGAAACTCAGTCTAAAGAAATTGAAAGTAAATTGCAAGGTCAGATGGATGATTTAATTAAAAGGAATATTGATTTGATAGAAAAGAATAACTTATTGGAAAATCAACTTGAAAATTTAGAAAACATGTTAAATAGAAATTAAGGTAAGATATGCAGAGAGCAAAAATGAAAGAGAAACATTGAAACAAAAATGGAGTGATTTGAAAAGAACCCTGGAATAAAAATAATATACATTTTGTCTTGTAATTATTAGATTAATTATTTATTTAGTATATAATTTATGATATAATGATAAATTGTTGTATATAATGATGGCCTTTTTCATTTAATCCAAAAACAAAAAGAGTTTTTCTTTATTATATTATTCTCATTTTTGTACTTTTAATAGTATCTCTCTCCCCTAAAATAAATTCATGGATCTTACATAAGCATCATTTTATGAGTTTTCGTTTTGTGCAAAGTTAGATGTTAAAGATTTGTTATTTCAAATTATCATTTATATTCTTTAATAAATCACATGGAAAAATCAACATATAACAAAACAGCAAATCATATCAATGAACTGAAAACTTACTCCGCAAGATTATTATTTTAATTTATCAATAATTAATATTGTTGTTGTTATTAAAAACTGTATTTGCTGATCTAGAAGAATAGGAAAAGGAGATCAAGTTGTTGTTAACATTAGGACAAGCAAATTGAAATGCATGGAACTGATGATGTTGTATTAAATTATTTGTAGCCTAGATGGAAAAAATATTTCTTCTTTGTCTTTGCATTTTTTCATTAACTTGTTTAACCCATGAGTGGAACATTGAACATTGCATCCAAGATGCATTATTCCAATAATACCATACTGGTAATGTTTTTTTGTCAACACTATGAATACATTTTGAATTTTTATATTTATGAATAAAAACAGCTGGTAATCTTTGAGTACCGGTTGCATTACATGCAAGCATTATTGTAACTCTGTCTTTAGGTTTCTTTGTACCAGTAATAGGGCCATGGGAAAGAGTTTTATTTCCAATAAAGGGCAGTCTCATCAGCATTATAAACATCACTTAAATCATATTGTGCAATTAAAGACTTCAGTTCGATTCTAAATGTTGGCAAATCATCAATTGGTGCACTTGCTCACCTGATTTATAATGTTCCTTTATATTTTTCTTTTCTTAAAATTAAACAACCATCCCTATTAATTAAATAGTATAATAGATAAATAATTATTATGTGCAGATTTTTCATAAAAAAGACAATTAATAATACTTTCTATACTTTCTTGTGATGCTGAAATCCATTAGTATCAAGTTTTCTAGCATAATCTATTGCATTTTGACAAATAATAGCACCATTTATTGTATGATTTGCTCTATTTGCATGATCAATCCAAATTGTCAATGCATTTTCTAATTGTGGCCATTCACCTTTAACGTTCTCTTTTTTTAATGGTGTCTGAATCTGCATTAATTGCAAGCCATCTAACTTTTTCCCTAAGAATATCCCCTACTGTTGATTTACTAATTCCAAATTCATTTCCAATTTGTTCATTTATTTTAGTTGGATTAGCAATTTTATATTCACATAATTCCTTTTTTTTTAATATTAGTAAGAGTGACCAATTTTCTTCCTGTCCTGCTTCCACCTTTACTAGATGATCCTTCAGTATTCATAATTATAAGGATTTTATAAATGTAAATGGGATTTTAAAAATATTTATTTACACTGATCTTTTATATAAGTTGTTCGGAAGATTGTGAAATCAACCTTTTTATACATACAAAATATAATAATAACATAAATGCATTGTACACTATACAACAAAAAAATTATTCTTTCTAAATTGGGGTGCGGAAAATAGAAAAGGACCTAACAGCAAAATCATGATTTTGAGATAACTAAAAAAAGAGATTTTGACCCAAAAATTCGGTATTCGTATATCATTTCCATATTTATAGTAAAAATAGGGGGATATTTTC